TGACTTCCTTATTTCCTTTCCTCTGCCTTTTATTTTCCTGTATTTACCACGTATTTTCCTTTATTTGCCTTTACCTGGCCTTGTTTTCCCTTATTTAGCCCGTATTTGCCCTTATTTGGCCTTATTTTCCTTTATTTGCTCCTTATTTTCTCCTGTTTGGCCTTAATTTTCCCTTATTTGCTCCTTATTTTCCTTATTTGGCCCTTATTTTTCCTTATTTGTTCCTTATTTTCTCCTTATTTGGACCTTATTTTTCCTTATTTGCTCCTTATTTTCTCCTTATTTGGCCCTTATTTTTCCTTATTTGCTCCTTATTTTCTTCTTATTTGGCCCTTATTTTTCCTTATTTGCTCCTTATTTTTTCTTTATTTGGTCCTTATTTTCCTTATTTTGTGCTTACTTGCTCCCCACCCCACCCCGAAACAAAGGGCGCTTATTTTATTCGGGGCAGTTTCGTTTGCGAGTTATGTCCGGTTCTCACTTTGTAAAGTTTTGTGAGTTTGAGCTTATTTGTTTGCCAAGGAGTCAACAAACGTTTTTTTGGTGTGAATAAGATCGAAGTAACACACAAATAAGACTGAAACAAGAACCAAATAGACATGAAATAGGCAGAAATAAGCAGTAACCATCACCCAACATAGGCCAACATAATAAAGACTAATAGAGATTAATAGGGATTAGTTTTCTGGGGGGGGGGGTTCTTGGGGGGAGGGGTTTGGCGTCTGTGAAAGAAATCATCAACAGTAGTAATCCCCAGAGAGCCCAATACTCCTTAATTAAGGAATATACCTTAAATTATAGGGGCCTTAATATTATGATTTAAGGTATATTCCCTTAATTAAGAAGTATTGGGCTCTCTGGGTCCTACTTGGAGCAGAGCTCAGGGCCTCAGGCGGCTGTCTTCTTCCCTGGCTCGCCATGGCCGGTCCATCTCTCCGGCACAACCCCCCCAAGAAATCCTATAAAGCCCTGCAAAATCCTACGAAATCCTATAGAACTCTACAAAGCCTCTATAAGGCCCATCGAAACCCTAAAAAAAAACCCACAAACCCCTGTAAAGCATGAACACATCTACGAAGCTCCATTAACAACCCTCGGAAAAACTCTACAAAACACCATGAACCCGCTCGAACCCTTTTTCATATACCTTCACAGGAGCTCCCTTTAAAACAAAAAGAACACGCCGACGAACCGAAGCTCCCAAAATGACCTCCGGCCTCTGCACCTTCGTTCAGGGTTTAGGGCTTAGGGCTTAGGGGTTTTGTTCAGGGTTCAGGGCTTAGGGCTCAGGGTTTAGGGGTTTTGTTTAGGGTTCAGGGTTCAGGGTTGAGGGTTGAGGGTTTAGGGCTTTCGTTTCGGGTTCAGGGTTTAGGGTTCAGGGCTAAGGGTTTAAGACAGCGTGTAGGGTTTGGGTCTTGGGGTGTATAGGAAAACTGCAACGGGGTTCTTGTTAAGCTAGACTCCTTAATATTAAACCCCGCTTCCTTCTTGAGGGAAACCCTAGATCCTGAACCCGAGGCCCTCGACCAGGAACCCTTATAAGCCCTAGACCCTGAACCGTGAGCCCTAAACCTTGAAGCTTAAGCCTTAGACCCTCCCTTACCTACAAGAGCTTCCCGTCGGAGTGGTTAGACATGCTCGCCAAGGAATCTTATGCCGGAAATGGACGCAAGCTGGGATTTAGGCTGTAGAGTTTCGGATTAGGGTTTGGGGTTTCGCTTTTGGGGTTTCGGGTTTCAGGCCCAGGGTTGAAGGTGTAGGTCTAGAATCGCCATCTGGCTTTCAGGGTTGTCTGACACCCGGGAGCCCCTGGGCAACAGACCTCTCTACCCATGCGGCGCAGGGACGAGCTCATGTTGCCTCAGCTGGACAAAGAAAGAAACCGCCCGAGTGCGGCTTGGGGAGAGAAGGCGGCTTGGGGGTGAGGCTTTAGCACTGACCTTACAAAACTTGTGGCTCAGCGAGGGTGCAGTTAAGGTGCCTTTAAACTTTGACCCCTCCATGTAGCTGACTCACTAAGTCCCCTGAATCCTTCCGCAACCCTAAACCCAAATCTTGAATCCTAAACCCAAACCTTAAACCCCGAAGCCAAAGTCTCAAACCCTAAAACGCCCTAAACCCCTCGGAAGGTGGGCGCAAAGGGTGCGGCGGTAGAGCGTCTCGTAGAACTGGGCGGCTCCCTGGGTCTGCCGAGACGTCAAAAAGAGCGGGTTCCACAGCCGGCAGCCCTTTATGGTAGGTGTTGGGGACTTAGGGCTTAGGTTTAGGGTTTGGGCTTAGGGTTTAGGTTTAGGGTTTTTTGGGGCTTGGGGTTTGGCAGGTTTAGGGGGTCTCGGGGAGTAAAATTTGTGTCCCTTGCCACCGCACCCCCTTTGTGAATTCTGCCGGCGTGGCGGGCTCATGCATGGGGAAGGTCGCCAGCGACTCCATCTCGTACATCATCTCCATGGCCTGACAATGGGAGACCCGGAAACCCTGAGCCCGAAACCCTTATCGGGCTCTGTATGGGCTATATTTAATATGGGCTCGAGAGTTCTACAGCAGTGCTAGACGGGTGCTGCCACAAGACTCTCATGCACAAGCCCTAAAAAAACTAAACTTGTGCGACGTCGATTCCCGTCGTATGCATTCGAATTGCGATCAGAAAATTGTGCCTGTTGGTATTTCTGGTGTTTGGGAGGATGGTGTACTTGCAATTACTACTAGAATTTGAAAAACTACGACGACCCTTACTACGATCATCCTTGCTCCTAACATCATGCATCTACTATTGGCTTGTTTCCAAATAAACGGTGTAGTTGACTTAGGGTGTCTTAATAATGAGGATTAGCGTCCATATTTGGGTCCTGTGCCTGCGTCTGTGAAAGCGTGGTTTTCTGTGCTTATACGGTGTTCTTGTGGCAAGTGTCCTGTATTAGTTTAGTTGTTGGTAGTTGCGTGAGTCTAGTCTGGTGTTATGGTGCTTGCGCCCTTCGTTCATATAATGGTAGTTGAGTTGCTGAAAGATGTAGAGTCCAGTTTGGGGTTTAGGCTTTAGGCTTCAGAGGCTTTCGAGATAAGTTAATGCTTCAGTATCCAGGGGGGAGCCGCTGAAAGCAGCTGAGCCACTCCTCACCTGAGTGTTCTCGATTCTGAACCCTCATATCGGGGCTCCGGCACTCAGAGTACGGTCTTGTGGTATATATTGTGCTATAACTATGATACCGAACCGCCAGAAACAGCAGTACTACACTTCCAACGCCAATAGTGCACCAGTCAACTGCAAACCTCGAAGTGGGCTTAGGGATCAAGATTTATTACTTGGGCTGAAGGGGCTGAATCGTCGTGTCTTCGACAAGCGCTTATATAAGGGTTGAGGGGGGGTGAATTGTTGAAGATTCGACATATCGGCTTTTATTGCGAGCTCCAACAAAAACATGAACAGCAGAACGTCTTTGCGGCAGTAATCCATACAAGAGGGCAGGTTTCAATCGAGGCTATGTTCAGGTGCTTGTTTGACTCCGGCACATAAGTAAATTATAATGTGCAACGAGGGAGCGTCTCTCTTTACCCCAAATCCTCAACAAAAGGATCCAGGCTTAAAACTCGAAAACCCCACAGTCCTAAACTCCTCCTCCAGATCTTGGAACTCGAAGAGCCACCCATTGAGCCTAGTCTTGGTGTAGTGAGGACGACTTGGCATCATGCATGACATTCGCAAATTTTTGGTTTAATGCCGTGTGAAAGGTGCTCCGCAACCGTAAATAAGCCCGAAGCAAGAAAAAAGCTCAACCCCCAAAACCCACTGTAGCCTCCACATCTCGGCTCTGCTTCATGCGAACCTGGCACAGAGGAGAAGCTGTACTTCGAGGCTTATGGGACTTTGCAAGTAGGGACTATGATTTGGTTTTTCCCCGATTGAGGCTCTTCTTACCCCAAACATCAACAACTAAGGTCACATGATCCGAGAAGCTCAACAAGCACCCCATGGAACCCCCATAAACCAGAAAATAGACCTCGTCCGAATCTTTTCAAGAACCCCACCCCACCACCCCACCACCCGCCCCGCCCCGCCCGGGTTTAGTGTTTTCGCGGCTCCCGCCGGTTTTCAGCGAATGGCAAAATTCGGGTCGAACATATTTCCAGAATGTGGGACCCCTTATTTAGGGATCCTGTTACACAGGATCTGTATGAAGACCTGCTCCCGTAAAACTAAACTTAAATTCTAAACATCTGAAAATCAAAACCAACAGTTCAACACATGAACTACACCTACAATTTCGTCCCAAAACCCCCTACGAAACCCGAAACCGTCATAAAGCCGCCACCGCCACAAAACCCACCAAGACACTTTCTGAAACCTAGGCGAAAGTCTAGGAGCCTGGGACATGTGGTTCAGGTACTTCACCTGCCAAGCGCCACTCCTTCCCACCAGAAATCAGGGCTTCGAGGCTTTCAATGTTTAGGGGTCTGGGGTTTAGGGTCTGGGGAAGGTTCTAACGGGTTTCGGGTTGTAAGGACTAGAAACTAGAACTCTACGCTTCGAGGGTTTCCGTTTCAAGAGGGGTTTCGTTACAAGGACAATGCTACAGCAAACTGAGGCAAAGGAAGCACCGACGCCCTTACACCCTCAACCGCGTATAAGGCTTAATGAAGCTAGGACAAGGCTCTGGGCTTAGATTCGCAGCTCTTTGGTTGTGGGGTCACACCTTGCGCTTCAGGGTCTTTTGCAAGGTGTCTCCATCCCAC